ACTCTTTCCAAAGCCACGTTCTTGTTCTTTCCTCCCCAAATTTGCATGACACCAATTTTTTTCCCTCTATTTTTTCAAATTTGTAATGCATTTGTTTGAATTTGTTGCCGTACATAATTGATATTCTAACAATAGAGTTTGGGTATTTTCATTCCAGTAAATTCAACAGAAGGCTAATATACAAAATACTTCCTCTGTTTTTTTTTTTTTCATTGTTGTTTTAAGGTTATGCATAAGAATTAAGAAAATAATTGATATTTTAGTGTTTCATAGTATTTATTACAACCTTTTGGGTGGTTGGAGAAGAAATAAGTATATTAAAAAATGAATAGACACATTATTTAATAAATATATATTAATTATTAAGGATAAAAATAAAAAAAAATTTAATAAGTCATAATTTTAGAAAAGTGATAATAAAAAATAATAAAATATTGACAAAACGATTATGAAAAAAAGGAAAGTATATAAGGAGAGGAGGAAGGAATCTGCGAATATAATTTTATTGGGTACTTTTTTTGTCCTAATATAGTAATGTTATGGGTGCAAATCCATTAAATTAGGTTTGAGGTCTGCATAAATTATGTTGTATGATCATTACATAATATCTTTGATGTCGCATGACTAATACAAGTAGAAAAATGAACTACTTTATGTGCAGTTTTAATAAATCACTTTATCTCCTTATATGTGGGTTGGACACTTATTTTTAAAAATGTAGAAACAAATTTGTTAATAACAAATTATAAATACATGCATATTGTCAAAATCAGTTAAACCAAGCAAATTTTCTATGTTTTCAATTTTAGAGAATAGAAAATGAGAGTTAAAAATAAATATATTTTCTAAACTTGAAAATTTGAAAATAAAAATTATTTTCAAAAAATGAAAACAAAATAATTTTTCAAATCAAACACCTAAATTTGAATTTTTCTTTCTTCTAAATTAGACAGAACTCGCTAGAAAAAATATTTATAATTCACAATATGGCATTGTTTTCATGACAATGACACGACGTGTGATTGGAGAAATTTAATTTTAGCAAAAAAATGTTATTCGGAGTAGTTTTGTAATTTTTTTTTATAAAATAACTTCGTAAAATCTTAGGCAGTCAAACATACATGACTGATCTTTTGATAGTCCTAACCAATCCCAATGTGACATGTATTGACGCTTGATCAAGTGTCGCAAAGATTAATTAAAATTATCATAGTCTTGCATTATGAATAATTTCTTCATCACAATATAAACAGTTTCCACTTTTGGAAAAATGGAAACAACCAAGTTACTTTACTTCATAAGAATTAAAGACGGAAAAAAATCTAACTTATGTAGAACTTGATAAATATTTTATCAATATGCTATTTTCAAAAATGCGAATCATTAAACAGGCCTATCAAGGTGGTGGACTGGTGGGATGTTGATTATGACATTGGGAGTTAATAATTGAAAACTTTTAAGTAACTGTTAAATAAGATTTTTTCCATCATTAAATATCTCTTATTCTATATAATTTGCAAATGTAATGATTAAGATGATAAATGTTCCAATATATAACAATAAGTTTTTATTTGATGTCACAGCAATACATTTTAGATAAGCAATAAACCTAAAGTGGGTGTTGAGTTGACGGGTAAATTGTTCTACAAGTATAATTTTATGATATCAACAAATTATGTGTTACTTGTCTTTAAGTATCTTTCTATCTCACTAAATTTGCATAACTCAAATAATTACAATAACTATTAATTATTGATCTATAATCTTCTCTTATCCTAGTTAATTAATGCGTCTTTTTCCTAATTTGATAAATCTCATTTGCTACAAAACTTATCGCATTTATACAAGTTCTCTCCCCTATTATACGAAAAAGGTAAATAATATTCCTTTATTAGTAGAAATAATATAAGTAAATTTTATCTTTTATTTTACATTAAATTTTAAACAAGGTCGAATTTTTAACAATCTATTTTCTGTAACATCACTTCTAGCTAAATCTTTTACATAGATGTATAAACACGAAAACAATTCTTGCTAAATCTCTAAGTGTAAGTATATTGTTCAAAATAGAGAATTTAAAATCTTATTCTTTAACTCTTGAGAACAAAAAATAAGCCAGAATTCAAAAAAAAAATCTATATACATAAATTATAATATCCACGTCACCCTTTGAATTCTTTTTATTATGAACAAATCATAATTGAAATGAGAAACCTTTTTTTACAAGTCATGATCAATAATTTGTTTTCATTCTCAAGTGTTATAAATAATTTGTAGATTAGCATTTAAAATAATTATGAATAATTTAAAAGTATTCATTTTACAATGCATATTTTCTATAATTATAAGAAGAAAAAAAATGCTAATTATATGCACACCGTTGAAGATATTTTTGTTTGATGTTGCCAAGAAAATAAAGGGTAATTTATAAAATTGAAGTAGTTTAGTGCAAAGCTTTTAATCAATGTAACTTAATATAGGATGATATATTTTATTGGTTTATATACAACACAAGGAGCACCTCCTAAGACTATTCTGTACATTGCAACCTACAAAGGTCACCTTAGCAGGACTCTCATTATCCTGCATTCCTAGGATAACCATCTTCATAAGATACACTCAAAAGCCTAAAGGAAAGTACATCACACACACACACTTGCACACATGAAACACCCTACAAACTGTTAGTAAAACCTGTAATCCTTACCCCTCTTGTGCCTAATATTTCACCATTTGGTGCTAGTGGTACCTGAAGGAAACTTTATTGTGTTTTTGAAAAATATTTAAAATCTGTTTCATGAGACCTTAAGCAGTTAAGACAGCACTCTCTGATCTGCCAGTAAGGGAGTTTCTGAGATGACTACCGGATTTTCCTTTCTCCAAGTTAGCATTGTATGATGACAGCAACCTTTTCTGCATTAATTCCAAATGTTTGGTGAAAAGTGAATCATTTGAATATTTTATGATGTCATATTTTGGAAAGTCAAATGCTATAAGCCAATAAATGATATCAGGATTTTATTCAGCAAAATGATAGGAGAATGAATACTTGCGGCAAAAGAACATGGAGAACACATGTGCTAAATATGAATTTTTTATTTGTTATGAAACTAAATCTAGAGTAGCTAAATTGATTAAAAACAGCTAAATGGAGGGAACAACTTTATTGAATGAAGAAATCTGAATAGGGAAAAAGAGGCTCTCTTGCTTGGTTGTATTCTTTCTCTATTATTATCCCCCTATTTGTCTAATTGAGTCTCTTCTAACTAACTGCCCTTTGTCCCTAACTAATTCTAATCACTTCTCTTTATTCTACCCTTCTAGTTCTACCTAACACACAGCATGGGAATAATATGCAGCTGAAGAAGACAATCCCACTTAAATATGGAAAATGTTATCGGGTGCCCTTAGGTCACTAGTTGAGGAAACAAATGTAGAAAGTATGTGTAATAAAAGGACAAAAATGTTATTATTTGAAAATGTAAAAATCATTTAGAGCATGTTTGCAAACAAGTTTAAAAGTGTTTTTGAAAACTTCTCTATTGAAAATAAAGAGTGTTTCTCAGTAAAAAAGTTCTCAGAAGTACTTTTAGTTTGTATCCAAACAAACTCTTAAACTTATTTTTTAAGTATTTGAAAGAATTTAACATAACTTATTAAATACTGCTTTAAGTAATATCCATTAAATTAACACAGTAATTCTTCTTCCATTTAATTGCCTGACTGGCATATGTATGTGCATGTGAAAATAGCATCTGTGCTTTATGTGACATGGTGAAAGCATGGTGACAAGGAAATGTTCTTTTAATGGCATAATATCCACAATTTGCTCAGGAAAGTGCAAACTGACAGCTATGAATGAATTTCAGATCATTGCTAAATCAGATACAATCAGAAATGGAAATTTGAAAATGCTTATTTTGTTATTGACAGCCTTAAACAATGTTGCATTACAACACCATAATTATAGGCAAATGCAAACAATATAATTGAACTTTTTTGTTTTGTGCAAAGAAAAGCATCCACTATGAAAAAATCAAAGATTAATTCGGCATCATAAACTCTATCAAAATAAGTGTTAAGAAAAAATTCTATAGTCCCAGATCTAAGCCTTACACTGAAGTTTCCGGCAAAAAAAAAATACCAAGATTGCAAAATCAGTATTTTGATGGTATTAACATAATCAATCACACAGTTGAAAATATCATATCAAACAAGCATCATAATATATAATAAATGAAGCAGAAGATCAAAACATGAAAGAGGCATCAAAATAGATTCATGTGTACAATAATTACGTCCATAAAAAAAGAATACCAAAAGAAGCGCGGTATTAGGAACAAATCTTACATCATTCTCAAATTCAGGACTCCTTAAATTGGTGGAGAGGTTTCTCATCAATAACAATACCTGCATAAGAAAAAAAACCATGTAAGTCCCATATACATTGGCCTAGCAATTAAATCATAAACATTAGATTTTCCTATCAAGTATAGTCTGATATCTCAATCCCTGGATACTCACCAAGTCACCATAGAAAAAAAGGGAAAAGAAAAGAATGATACGAAGCCAAAGAAAGTAGAGGACTTAGATCACTTACAGTTTCCACATTTATTGGATCCATCTGCTTCAGCGTCTGTAGATGATTAGTTGCTTTTGGATCAAATACACTGCCAATAAAGCTATAGACTTGTGCAAAATCCGGCATTACTGTTCAGTAGGACAGGTGAATTTGTCAAGAGAAGCATGAAAAAAATCATGAACACACTAATAAAACAGATGTTCAATAGTTGGAACACCAGGTATCTTGCATGCCACACATCATGATGAACTTAATAGTACTAACATTTCTCTTTATAGAAGAGAAAAAATGAGTTGAACAATAGTAAATGAATAAAATAGAGCTTCATGTTCCAACTCCTTAGAATGATAATGGAATGCCTTGGTCAAATTGAAATACTTTTTTTTAGATCATAGATAATTTTCATTGAACAACAGTAAATGAATCTAAACCAACACTTTTCAGACAATTTCAGGTTGAAGCAAATTGAAATATGAGCCAAAAAAGCATTCCTACCTTTAATTGGCTTTCCTTGGTCAGCCTGATCTGTGTGTTTGCTACTTGGCCAACCCCTAGGAGTGCTCTCATTACTACTGCTATAGCAGTGATTGAAAGGAATGGCTTGTTGACTCAACATCCTATCATCTAACCATAAAAATGAAAATTCATGTTAACATAAGTTTCCACATATCTAAGTTTGTCATAGAATAAATACAGAAAAGTTCATATACAATTTAAGATTAAAAACAAAAAAAGATTCAGGCTAAAGAAAACCTTTAGTCACTTGAGGAAGACTGACTGGTGGTGTAACGTTATAATTCCAAGATGGCAATGGCACACTGCTAACTGGAGTTCTAAGCACAGATGATGAGTCTGGCCTATAAATGTATGATGATTCAGATAGAGAAGATGAAGACTGCAATGGCCTCTTAACTTGGGGTATAGTAAGAGCTGATAAAATGCAAACAATAAAAGAGTTATTTATAAATTGACTAAGGTCACAGATACCTGAAATGAGGTTAGCCACACACACTAACCATTTTTAGAAGCTTTTTGTGGGTATGGATGAGCAGCTTTTCTCTTCGGACGAGGGGGAGGTACATGTTCACTTGTGCCATTCTTCTGAACTTTCATGAAATACTTCTGTGCATGACTCCTTATCTGCCAAAAAGAGGAAGGGGAGCAAACAATCAATTCTGAAGTTTTGTATAATGTTATGGGTAGAATTTATAGTAATCAATTCATCAGCATGCAGAACTCAGGTAACTAAAGTTTGGGGTTTCAATTAGCATTTTTCTGGAAACTATCATGTCAACCTTTGCTCATTTTATGAGATCTTTTTTTTCAAAGGTATTAGGCATGTACCCCAACCAACTGTCAGAACCTAACCCTTTTAAGATGCCAAAAATCACTAAAGTAGGTATAAGTTCTCTTAAAGTGCTTTATCCATACACACCACTAGAAATCAAACCTCCACCAACATACTTAAGATAGACAGTTACCTACAAACTATAATCTCTTGATAAGGTTTTGTTATTCATACTATAATTTTTTTTTGGTGAATATTCATATCATTCATTACATCTCATATTTATCTTCTTCTTTTTTCCTCTTTCTCTAACTTATAAAATTTATGGACAATTTATAGTGCGAATAACATTCCTCTTAACACAATCTTAATGCCCTATACCACTAAGGTAGTTTAGTTCAATTGGTTGAGCAGTATGCGTGAGTTATTGTAAGTCCTAGATACCAGGTTCAATTCCTACAAATTAAAAAAACAACCTATGCTAATTAATGACATTAAGGCCGAATAAATTTCTCCAACTACTCAATCTAGGAATAAGAAAATGTGAAATAACCAATAAATGTTCAATTGTCAATTTTGACGCTCACTTCTTACTTGTATATAAAGTTACCTGGATTACTGTTTTTGAACCTACAAATGCTTCTATCTTCTTCCAGTCACGGTCGAATCTGAAATCAGTCAGAAGAAACACAAAGGAGAAAAAAATATAAGAAAAATGAACAAACAACAAAAAAGAAAAGATTTTTAGACCCCCCACCCCCCCTCAAATGAAAAAAGAACCCAAAACCAAAAGGGTCTCTACACTGCAGCAAAAATCGCAAACACAAAACTCCTGCACTAATAGAACCCAAAATTCACCCATCATGATCAGCAAAACATAAACACAGCATCCAAACAAGTCTCACATCACATAATCAACACCAAATAGAAACTTGAACACCATGAATGGAAGAGTAAAACAATTATAGAACACATACAAGTGAAGAGCTTCTAGAAACTTGTCATGCTCTTGGTCGGTCCAGTTCTCTCTGGACTTGGTAATGGTATAAGGCTTTCGGATCTTCTTATTGGGAACCTCCATGTTGAAGGTGTCGAAGAAGTGAAAAGTTTGAGGAGGGTTTGGGTTGAGGGACACCATAAATAACACTATGAATGTCTTCAACAACCTCTTTAGCCGTGAAAACTTGTTTGTGTTTTGATAGCTATGCTAAGTTAGAGAAGTTGAGTGGGAATGAGAGGCAGTGATTTGAACTTGGTTTTTCCACAAGTTGGAACCGACTTTTTCTCTATCCCTTTATATACACACAGAAACAAGGAAAGACATGTGGCATCAGTGTGTGGCGTGTTATTCTTTCTGAGAAAATAACGTTTGAGGTTGAGCCAAAAAGAAGGTTTTCTTTTTTTCTTTTTTCAAATTTAGATGGACTCTGTAGTGTATGTTGTTAATTAGGGGTGGGTATATGGACTTGAGTCCGCGGACCGGTCCGTAAGTCCGCGGACTTCACGGATAACGGACTCATTTTTTTTAATCCGTATAATTATACGGACTTTCTAGGCCCAGCTTGTTTAGTCCGCGGATTTTGCGGATTTAATCCGCGAGCCCGCGGATTACCCGTTTAAATGTGGACTCAAATTTTATTATTGGAGATGGTTGATTATATTTGATAGATGTAATTGGACTTACAAATATTTTATGTTTGTTTTTAAGATATTAATTAAGACTTTATGTTTTAAGGTATTTAGACTTTGATGTACTGGCTTTAATATTTGGTTAATAGTTGGTATGCTTGGACTTTAAATTTTAAAGGCATTGAGACTTAAATATTTCTATTAGAAATTTAGAATGTGTAAACTTTGTTATTTAAGACTTTGATTTATTATTTACAATGTTTGATGATATTATTAGAAGTATATTTATATGATTTTATATTTTTTTTCCTCATGTTTTCATAGGTTAAATAAAGGAAAAGAAATTCAAAATCTGAGTCAATATTCATTTAAACAATTTAGATTTAATTGGGTCCGCGGACTTATTCGTTTATCCGCGGGCTTCACGGGCCGGATACGGACTTGAAGATTTAGTCCATTTATTTCGTGGACCGGATTTATCCGGCCCGTTAAAAATGCGGACTTCGCGGACCGGGCCTTAAACGGGCCGGACCGGTCCGCATACCCACCCCTATTGTTAATTTATAAAACGACAAAACTCACTGCAATTCTTTATGAACTATTTGTCTGTTCTTCCATGAAAATTAAAGTTCTTGTGAATAATTTATGTTAATTTGAAGGTGAAATTTTAGATGAATAACCGTAACAACCGTCACCCATGTGAGGATTTGTGTTAGAATAATTATTGAATATGTTGTTAAAATAAATAGTTGATTGAAAGGAAACATATAATTACTTTTTTATTTTACTTATTTTTGTAATGAATCGATAAGTTACCACACTTATTATGGATAAATCACAACAAGTAAAAGTTAAAATATGTTTAAATCATATATTCAAATCAACTTGCAAAGATAACTAATTATTGATGCATAAGGTAAAATGGATAGAATATATATAATTTACAAAATTCAGTACATATATTATAATCTAAATAACTACATAAATATCTTCTAGATAGTTGATCGAGAACTCCAAAAATATGACTCCACCATAATAGTCATACAAAATAAGGCACTTCCAGCATGACTAAATACCATTATTCTAGTTAATCATCTAATCTTACCTTGTTCACTTATCAAGTATAGTCATAACAATTCTAATCACTAGGAAAAGAAGGATAAACTCATGAAAGAGACAACATACAACAATTACAACAAGGACAACAAAATTCTATATCAACAATAGTACAATACACAACTTAACAACATGTTCAATATTTATCAACTTCAAATTTACTCAATATTTTAGCATATGTCCTATAATCGAGGTGAATAGTTTAAGTGACTTGACCTTACCAAATTGCAGCATTAGACATATCTCAACCAAATTAGGTATAGTACAACATTGGGTCTAAAAGAAAGTCAGGTGTAGACAACTTAATTTGATTTATCAGGTTTTGTCACTTAAACTAGGAAGTATGATACCATGTTAAGGTAAAATAGTTTGGATATGAACCTACCACGGTGTTAGCTTGCAACATTAAGTCACCCATGGGATTAGCTCACTAATTACCCTCCAAATATCACAACCCTCGAATACTAAGTTAGGGACCAAGTCCCTGATTTCATACTTTACTCGGTTAGTTACTTAACTAGGATATGGTTTGACTACCTCCATATCAATACATATAAACACTAGAGGGAAATCAACTTTAAAACAACATAATTCATCCTTAGCATCTATGTATCTCATCTGAGACATGTATCTCAATCACATGTCTATGATTACATAACTTTAGCAACTATACAACATATAACCTACAACTTAACATCATCAATTCATCTATCAACTTACAACATAGATATTCATCATCATATATTATCATACATACATCATAATCATCAATATTTCATTGATAGTTCATCATAAGACAACAAGCATGTAATAAGCATGTGGAGCCTGACACTACTCAAACGGCGCCTGACGCCATTGAGACATAGAGTTCCTTGTCTTGTCCATGTCTGATATCACACTACTCATGCCTGGCATGGTTGAGTTAGAGAGTGCTCCACTCTCTCGTGCCTAGTGTGGAAAGATCCACTTCCAAGCTCAATGTGCGGCAGTCTCCCAAAAGTCTCACGTTCAATGCTAGTCCAACTCGAGACTATTTCCCCTTCTCATAATCAATGCCACTAATCTTGTGCCCGACGTGGAGAAAAGGGGAACCCTCTAGTTGAGTTGTGTCTAACGCTATAAAGGCACGTCTAGTGTGACATTAGTTATGCAATTATGTAGAACTGATTTTGAACCAAAACCTTGCACACAACAACCCAAAGACCAACATTTTGCAACATACAACAATTATACGATACATATACATCAAGATTTCACAACCAAAGCAACATACAACCATACATCAAGGATTCACCATGAGCGAAAGCTTCCCAGCTTCAAGAAACCTCAGCCAACAACTTAGCTACCAAGGAATCAACACATAATACGAAATTAGTGACCTTGTAATCAACATTCATATTACATTGAAATTTAAGAGCAAGCTTCCCTTACCCTATGGTGAACTAAAATTTGTCCGAGAGACAGAGAAGGGAAAAGCTCCGCACAACTTTGAGCTTATTTTGCAACACAACTACTTAGAACTTCTCACGACTATTGATTAGTTACATAGAAAGAAGGGCTCTAGGAGAAGGAAAAAGGGAAAACTCTCTTTCTCTATCCTCAAAACAAAAAATAAAAGGCCATAAAAGAAAATATTTCTATAAGTCCCTTGAGTTCAACTAACATGAATTTTACAATTTTAATAATATATCTATCAATTTTTTAAATTTTATGTGGATGGAAGACTTTTTTTGACTTTTTATCTTAGAATTCATCAATATTTAATGTTAATCAACATTCTTTATATTATCGAATAAAATTTTAGTTTTGATTAGAGAATGATATTAATAACTAGTAAGGTATTACATTTTAAGTTTTACTATTATTTTTAAAAAAACTTAATACTAGTGTTTACTTTTGGGATTTTATATATTTTCATTTTATGGTTGATGATAACACGTACATAAGGTTTTAAGATACGATTCCTGGTTGTGGTCATTATTGCCGTGATTTCATTCGAATTCCTGATATCGTAAAAATTAATAGATAAATCCAATTAATATGGTCACAAATTCACAATGCTGGTATAAAGGTCAAAGAAAAATACCTTGAAATTGCGGCTGAAAATTTATCGTTTTTAAAATTATGACAGGCAATATGCATTTTTGTTTTCAGTGCAGCTTTGTATGATAAACTTGACCAACTATTTTTAAAGTGAAAAAGTGAGAAAATTTATATGCACATATATTTTTTAATTGTTTATATATGTATATTTAAACCAATTTTTGAAGAAAAAAATTGTTTGTATCACTGATACAAGTGGTAGAGTTAAGGAGACAAGCTTTAAGGTGCAGATTGAATTTGATACTCCAAACCATTAAGAAGATATATAATCATTATTAAAAACAATAAGATATTATAAAATATTAATAAAATAAAATTCTATTACTCAAACTAATTTTTAAAAATAAAAAATGTTCAATATCAATATTTAACTTATTTAAATATAAAAAAAATGCTCTGTTCGTTTAACTTATTTTATATATTAATAAAGTAATCATTCATCAATTAAATTAATGTTTTATTAAAAAATTTCATAATTTATATATTTATATTTATATTTTAAAATTAAAGTATTTTTTTTTATGATTTATCTTTTTTAAAGTATTTATACAATGTACCTATGGATAATATAGATACTGTTAAAAATAATAATAAAGATGAAGTAACAAATATGAATTATAAAGTTGTCACACCCACGGAAAAAAAAAAAAAGTTATAAAGTGAGGTATATATTTCAAAAGGTACAATATAGATATATAGAACGTAAATTATGGATATAGGATCTCATTCGTTAATTTTCATTTTCTTTAATAAACTCAACATTGAAATATTTTTCTTAAGTTAATTATTTCAAGTATTTTGACTCGCTGGATGCAGAATAAAGGTATAAGTAGTACACGTACTAGGAAAAGAAGTCACTAACTAGAAAGTATCTTAAACATCACTAAACTCAAAATATCTTTTTGTAAACATAGAAAGAAAGCAAGTTTTTAAATGGCATTGAAGAAGTATTGATACTGCAAATGTAATAAATACTAACATGAAAATTCCTAGGTTGACTTTATCCATTATGAAAATAATACTATCTTATTTTTAATGTTTTAAAAATTGGATTGAATATTTAATTATAGTTGAATTGTTCAAAACATTAATTCAATATTTAATAATTTAATTATAGTTGAATTGTGGTTTAATATTAATAAAATAATAATAATAATATTTAAATAATATATAAAATCATATTACATAAATAAAATATTATTTTATATATTTTAATTTTTTTAAAATAATTATTAAAGTCTAAATATAATATTTAAGTTTAAATTTTAATAAAATATAATAATATATATTAATACTATTATATTTAGAGTAGAAAATTTTTAAATTAATATGATATAAAATATAAAATATAAAATATCATGATATAAAAATTATAAATTAATATAAATGACTAAATTGTATCTTTATAAGAAAATAGATCGGAAATTTTATAATTTATAATTTATATTAAATATATATTTATCATAAAAATATTTTAAAAATTTTCGGAAAAACATTTTTTTAATAAAGTGTCTATTCAATCCGACTTTCTAGATTAGTTTTTATCGATGTTGAAATTGTCTATATAGTTTTTGACTGATTTTTTATACATTAATTTTATAGTTGTTTCAAATTAGTTATTAATTTGATCGGTTAAACCAATCAATCCGATTCGATCCTAACAACATAGTTATTACCTATAAAACATGAATCTATGTTAGTTTGTCCCTTAGATGGGGTTGGGTTAGGCAAGAGGGAAGATCATAATAAAAACTAATTAAAAGTTAGGTTTAAATTTAAGAGGAGTATCAACATTAACTTTGTGGAGTTCTCTACCAATTTTTCATCATGGAATAATAAGGTCCATGTGAAGGTCAAACACTATTTTAATATAGTGAAAATCAATTCTAAAAACATAATATCGTTCATGTATTGTAAGACAAACCTTCAACTATAGAAACTTGGTTATAAAGTATGCAAATAGGAGTTTAACTAATCTATTGAAAATTAGATAAATTTTTTATTTATAAAAAGATAGTTACGATTAGTGTCTTGATTATGCTAAAGAAAGGATAAATTACTATTTATTTCATGTGGTTCAAGCCATTTTAACTTATAATATATCGATATTAATTTGTAAGGCTATGGGTCAAGAATGATTAAATTACATGAAAATCCTTAACTATAAGTGGAAGTTACCAAACAAAGCTTTTAGGTTGGAAGTGTTGGAGTTGTTGAGAATCCATGGTCTATGAGATGGAAGTTATCAATAGTTTTAAAACTTGGCTCAGATTAGTCAGTTTGACTGAGACTTGCGTGTTCCACTGGATGGAACTAGAAATTAAATCAGACATGTCTATAACTTGGCGTTGACATCATTAACCTGATTAAAACTAGAATAAACTCATTAAAACTGGTTGAACTAGTTCTTGGTAACCTTCTAAATCTGTGTGCTAGCTCATGGTTTGAGACTACTATTTGCTACAATTACATGGCCCAAGGCTCGAGACTGCTACCTACCAAACTTGAACCTTATCCATGGCATTAATTAGAAACACTTTACTAAATTACATATGAGACCGTTTACTTAAATAGTAAGTCTATCTAAACTTATTCCGTTCAATATCTTATATTTTACATCAAATTTTAATAATTCAAATGTTCAATATCCCTCAATTTAAATTAATAAAATGAAATATAAAATAATTTTAAATTTTTTAAAAATTTGCAGACCTGATCTAGAAACTTTAAATTTAACAGTTAAATTATTAAAATTTAATATAGAACATGAGTTATTAAATATAGTAAGTTTTTAAACTATTTAAATAATTTGAATGACCACTAAATTAACATACTATGTTGTTATACAATTGACTTAAGTAATTTATCTAATATATTTTTTAACTTAAAATTATATAAATAATTTGTTATTAATTTATGTGTTCAATCTATCTATAACTTAGTTATTTTATTAGTATTATATTAACTATAACTTTTTAGAGTTTTTTTTTATAAATAAAGTATGATTTTTTTATTGAAATTTATATGTATATAATATATATGATATGAATATTTTTTTAAAAATTAATTAAAATTAGTCATATGATTTAATTAATGACTTACCTGTCTGATTCCTAATTCATTAACTCAATACCATGACCAATTTAATAATCGGTCCAATTTTTAGAAGATTGTTTTATATAATTAAATGAATGGGAAATGCTTTTAAAAGTGGAAAGTGTAACTAAATATCGCATAAATATCTTTTAAAAGCTATACTTCTATGGGATTTCTTTCTGGCAAAAATATCTTAGATATTTCGGAATAGATAAGGTGACACGGGATTTCGCATTGCTTAGGTTACCACGTGTTAGATCTAGGCACGACGTGAATGACGCAACATTTCCGTAAATCTCTCATATTTTAACCGTTCATCATTTTGTCGGACATTAGAATATAAATGTTCTTCGACATTACGAACATGGTTTGGTCCCGATAAATGCATCATCCATTATAAGCGTAAATGTTAATCACGTAAATTTTCAAAGTTCATGAGCCATGCAAAGTAGAGGAGGCCTTCTGGATCAGTATATCATGTGTCACTCACACCATTGGTTAGATCTTCAAAATTGTCAACTTTCAGCTAAGAATTCTTCTCAAGATAGTTGAAAATTGTTTATAATCTAATTTTTTTCGTCCCACAAACATATCAATTTTTAGTTTTCTTTAATATTAAAAGTGATTTTTTTATTTATAACGTGTTAATATAAAACTAAATTTTACATTTCAAACCGTAAAAACTGGCCACCTGTTGCTTTCCAATTCTGTATAAAAGAATGTTGTTGAGAGGATTTACTCTCTTAGAAATGCACATGCTTTTGATATCAACTGATCAACGATTGTGACAAAACTCTAGTGGTAGGTTGAGTGATGGCAACTGAACTGACCATGATAGAATAGACACTTGTGCGAAAACTAACGCATAATCGAAGTTAAATAAATAACAAAAATGTGAGGATCGAACCAGCAGTATATATGTTATTAACTTATAGATAAACAAAATGGATTAAACCAAGTGGTAGTGATGTACGTGGTATTATAGATAAAGACAGCCAATAATGGAAAATGAACACTACTTTGAAAATTGGACCGACTAAACCAGGATTCCATGACCGTTTGCTATCAAAGCAAAATTTGCGACATTTAGTAAATTGAATGATAAAATTTGTAAAATGTATCATATTCTTTGTCTTTATGTTCTTCCACATTATTTTGTATTAGTCAATGATTATTTTTACCAGTTATTTTGGAAGTTAAATGTGTTTCATACATTACTACTACACTGAGTTTTATATTTATAGAATAATATGCTAATTTTAAGAGAAAATAATACTTCAAAATTAAAATATTTTTGTGAAAATCAACGATATTGAATTATAATATTCTGATAGTAAGAATTACAGGGCTAAACCAAAATATCATCACACGAGGGCCAAGTTCATCACTCCAATGAAATCTCATGAAAAATCCTCAAAAAATAATACAGATAAAAGAAAAAAAAAATTATGCTCTACACTAAATACATTCCAATCTTTCACAAAGAAACATTTGGAAGATCATTAAGTCACGGGAGTGGAGTGATTTACAAGCTCCTCCTTTTTGAGTAATACAGACCTAGAATTACTCTATTCAAGCCAACGTGTAACTCCATCTTCGCCTGCAGTTGCTAATACCTCAACGCGTACATCCAAAACAGCCTATTTTTGTGTCCATAGGAGGAAACACAGGGATAAACCAATCAGTAGAAATTTTACAAACTAAATTATCAACTTAAATATAATTATAGCCATCTGACAAACACTGATATAACGATGAAGCAACACAAATTAAGGTATGTATAGTGTAATGCATCAGGAAGATGACTTGCTCTGGTGTGCTGATGAAGAACCTTTAGTTGACTAAAATAGTGCCTTGAGGTCATGACTCTGTTTATAGGAATACCTAGATTGTGGAAAAACTAAAGCATCGTGATCTATGTAAAATGCCCAAAAAATAGTTTAAAATGATTTTTTTTTCATGTCAATCAAAGATCGAGACAACTAAGTGGCTGTTTGGTTTAGCTTCAAGACGTGGTTTTTCATGTCCCACTTGAAGCTACTCCAGCTTGCTTCTCCATCAATTCCTTCTTTTTTTGACGTGAAAATATAGGATAACATGGATTAAAGATGTGTAAGCAAACATGCACTAAAAGGACAACGGAGGAAACAAAATGAGCCCTTGAAAGCCATCTTCTACATCTCTCCAACGTATGTATATTCCTTACACAAAGAGAACAGCTTTGGGGAAAATTAAGAAAGATGGGGCGTTAAAATTATAAGTTATAACCCATTTTGAAAAACCTTAGCACCATATGCAGCCAACTAATATGTTTTGCAACTAGTTACCAGATGGCAGGGGAACCATTTAAATCTCATACCTATGTATCAAATATAGATCGCAACAGAATTACATAAAGATAAAAAAAGAAAAGTGAACTTACAGATGGGTTTCTACAGTTCACCAGTCTGCATTCCTGTAAGGAGCCTTCTAGTGTCCAATTCTCCCAAACATCAAAACTATGACTAGCAAATACAAACTCCATTCTTCTATTGATCTGCAAAATCACAGTTTATAGCCAAATTAAAGGCATTTGCGGTGTTACATAAATAGTTGAGTTAGCTATATATCTAAATAAGTAAATGTTTAGCTTTTGTTGAAAATATACTACTCAAAAACAGAAACGCAGCATGCAAAAGAATAATCAATTCTAGAGGAAATCTATGATAAAATTGATAAACTCTGAACATTATAATGCAATTACCTGCAATAATTTTCCACCAGCAGCAAGAGATCGCAATCCAATTGTGTCCTGAAGCAAATGAATTAACTTTCAAGTATCAGCTAATTTGCATGTTAAAAAGAGATCTACCATTCTAAACTACTATTTGAAACACATGCTGGCATATAATATTAAGGTCTTTGGATAAATGCAAAGTTTTTTTGAGCCGAACCTTGCTTCTGAAGATGATGAGGAACTGTGCAGCAGGGTCTCTTTTTGACACATTTGACATGGAGTCCATGATCCAACCTCCACCTTTAACTCTTTGCCTTGAGACATGAAGTGCAGGGCGGTCTCTTGCATACAGAGCTATAACATATCCATCTCTCAATAGTTCAGTACAGTTTCCACTAAGTTTCATGCTTGACTTTATAACTTGGGCGCCAGTTGGTTCTTGCATAGATTCTATTGGAGTTTTTCTACTTCTTGAGTCTTCAGAGCTGGAGCTCAAAGCTTGGTCAGTGCCACTCATAGCAGTATCATCTCTTTGAGATGTGCCTTCTTTCTCCACTGCAGAAGGATCTTCTGATTTTTGTTGGGACTTTTGACGGGTATGCCTTTTTTTGGCCTTTTTACCTGACCTGCTGCGCCTTCCTTCAGATCTAGCAGAGGTATTCTGAGACAAACTGGAAACCTGATGCTGGGATGAAGAAGACTCTTTCACTAGACTACCTCCTTTCTTTTGGGAGTTGTCAGGAGTTACATGAACATCATCAGTTTGCTCTCTAACAATAATTTGGAGAGCATTTTCTTTGTATTGCTGATCAGATTGTTCACTTTCATTTTCAACCTCACTCTCTTCTTCCACATCTGACATTGCATTCTTTGGAATAATTCCGTCAATGAAGAATGTTTGTAATATGGATATAGCTTTCTCCCTTATCTCCATCCAAACCTCTTCACTGTAATCTGCACTTCGGGGAAGTATCAACACATTAGGCATTTCCTTCACCTGATGCAGACATACAAAGAGTATGTTAGTATCATATCATCTATCCGTTATAACTATCATTGTTGTAAACTGACAGACATGATCTAATGTGTATTTGAGTAGCAAATATAAAAATAAAAAAAAAAATAAAAAAAATCAATTAAGTCAACAAACTTTAGCAAAACCTATTTTATTTTTGACAATAAAGTTTTTCCATTAATCCCATTATTGCTCTGATAAAGAATAATCATATTCCAAAACATTAATAATACTGGATCAGATGAGGTAAAGACAAGGTTAAACATAACACTGACATATAGGTTTGTATAACTTTGGTAAAAAAAACCTTCCACCCTGATTATCATTTTCAGTGTGCTAAATTGTGGGAATCACTTCTACATTGAAAGAATTGCTAATTGGATCCTTATCATGTGATTCTTACACAGTCGGTCATGCACAAAAAAATATGTTGGGTCGCAAGACCCAGTTCAAAGAAAATCCAAATTTAGGTTTGGCATAACAATAATGACATTTGTTAATATGCCATGGCCTGTTGACTAAGATCATCATATATTATTAATGTATGCATTTCATTATCATAGAAAAGGTTCCTTATTTTTCTAATCAGGTAGGTTTGAGCGAAGGCCACAGCTATGATAAGCATTGCAAGAAATACAGACTTTTTTTCCATTTTTTTTTATAAAAATGGGGGGAAACTGGGAAAGTGGCAAAATCCTTTATATTATGAACCAAAGTCAGAATATTAAAGTATGAAGCCCTTGGATTGGTCCCTATTTTTCACCTTTGGACTCTTCGACATGCTCAACTTTCTGCCTCTACCCATTACTTTTGGTGTTTCGTGTCCCGTCCATAATAGCTTCCTTTACTTAGTTCTGGTCCCCTACCCCCGTCCCTTTCCATGTCTATTTTAATGTCTTCTGCTCTCTGTTACTGTTGCAATAATCTTTATATTGGGGGTACTGGGTCAGACAAAGAAGAAAAAGGACACTAGTACCACATGGAGCCACAGTAAATATTCCTTTACATAGGCTTTAAGTCAAGTACAAGTATTGTTCATATACTTGCTGGGGTGATGTTGCAAGGATGAAGCATCACTTTGTTGGATGGAATAAAGGAATGTTAGTGATTGCACATCTATTCATGATGAAGTCAGAGAGATGTTTTTGAAGCTGTTAGAAGACAAAAAAGAGGCAAATAATCAAGAACAATTTGAAGAAGTTGGTTACCCAAGATGCGAAAACAAAAAAACAAAAAAAGGAAATGTGACATCATTTGTTAGGAAGAGGAAGGAAGGAATTTTGGCATCTATGAAGCAAAAGACAATGAATGAGGTGTTGAAAGACAAGAGTTGGTGATTCAAGACATCTGAAAATGTATGCATGGATTGAAATGCTTGGCCATTTAATTTGGTAGGAAGTTCCTTATTTGTCCAAATGCTGAAACCAGTTAGTGAATATGGAAGGCGATTAACACAGTCCCACTCATCATGAGGTGAGAGCTTCTTACTTGAGAAAGACAGTTGACAGCATCCAAGTTAGTATTGAAGGGGGAAAATGGGGCTGCAGTTGAACATGGTAATCAAATTGGGATTCAAATCGTGAAATAGCTCGCTAAATGGATAACAAAGTAATATATAAAGTTCAAAATAAACAAAGATCCAAATCACTACAGTCACAGAGGCAAAAAATCAGTGACTGCTCTGATTCAGCAGTATGGTGGAATCCTTTTTTTGATGGCTACCTTTTTCAACTCTTACCTTCACCATAACTCTCCTCCACAAAGAGCCATCAAATCAAAAGGTGTATAATATAGTTAACAAAGTATGTCATGCAAGTTATTGATTTATAATGAATGTAATGGGTTGCATCTTGTCTCTACTCACTAGTATCTATTGCCATGTTCATTCCAAAAAAAAACCCTGGCTATATTGAATTTTTAAAGTTGTTGATCAAGAAAAATCTTGTCACCATTGGGAACATTCTTTCAATGGTTACCAAACAACACCTGATTATTCGAATTGAAGTTATTGTCATAGTGAAACCTAACCAAACTGCATAAAACTTCAGAGATTAAGGAATGCATTACTTGCTAGAATTGAGATAATAGGCAGTTGCATGGAGGGGACTATGTGGCTGTAATTTTGACCTAATAACATCAATAATCTTTCAGAGTTTTTTATACCTCGACTCTTGCTTTTGAAAACTTTTAGCAATTAACTCTTTGGCTCTATCACCTGCTGTACAAATATATGGCATAACTGGTTTTGAACCATCTACAAGCCTTGGAACTTTTACAAGTGGAATCACACACTTTACCCAATATTTGATCAATATCCAAAATTTATCATCATTCAACACTAAGTTTATCACTTAGCCTTACTTTTACAGTTTTACTAGTATACAGACTAGAAGCCCATTCCCTAAAGCAAACATAGATATAAGAGCATTCTTTTGTTGCATGACAGTTGCGAACATTGTCTCAGCTAGTCTTGCTATATCCCTTCCCTTGAAATGCTTTCTATACAAAATAAAAACCCATGTATGACTATATGTGTAAGTTGTGATTGTCTTTGCATTTACAACAATATTATAACAAACTGGGAGCTCTCCAATGTCCTTAAGGACTAGAATCAAGGCAGTGAGCAGCTCAAGGGGACAAAAATAATGTAGTTCTCTTGTCCTCTAACATTTTCCTTGCTACCACATGATTAGAAGCACCATCTATTACAAATTGCACTACATCATCCGGTCCAATTTCTTCCACCAAGCTGTCAAATTCCTTCCCATGTGGACTAATACAAGAAAATTAATAACTGACCTCCTTTTTGCATCTATCCAACCATTACACATAAGGCAGTCCCGTTACTTCCATTCACTGTTATATATCTCTAGAAAATTTAGGATGTTGCTGATTGCTTTCTTCAAAAGAGAAACCCTCCCCGCATGATAAGTAGGAGGCTTCAAACCTCAACCATCTTCTCCAACAACTTCAACATTTGGATAAAAAGTGGACTCCTAATGCATTTGCAAATTTCTTGGATACCTGGTTTTCAAGCTACCAATTTGAAAGGCTACACCAAACAAGTCAAGGAACCAGTTTGCAGTTCAACTTGTCAAACTGGTTGGTCTAGTATGGTTTTTTCTTCAACTTTTTATAGGTGGTCATAATGTCATCTATTGTTACTCTTAGAATGTGGGTTTGAAACCGAACTTAATCTTACAAAAACCATTTTGAAAAATGAAGATTGCTCTCCACTTAAATACACTATTAGTCTTATCCCTAGTCGATATGAGACCTCCAATAATTACCAATTTCACCATATCCCTTTTTTTTTCTTGGAGAAACAAATTTCATTAGGATGCTTTCATTTTCCATTTATGCTATGAGAATTCTGCTAAAACTACCGAATTCATTAGATATTTATTTCTATACTGAAAATGTTTCCTCCTATTTAATTGATTTACTTTCATCTGTATCAGATGCCTTGGTCATCTATAAAATGATTTTATCACTCTATTCACTGTTCAATGCACACTTATTTAAAACATATATCTATTAATTTATATTCCCCTACCATATTCACAATTCCATGTGAAACATTCTAATATGAAAGGGAAAGGAATAATAAATTGAGTAAAAATAATGCAAAAATTCTTCTAACTCTAATAGTGAGAGTGGGAGTGAGAATCAATCAGTAGTTTAGATATTTGTGAATGCCTGCATTACCTTGTAAATTAAAGAATTCAAAACCTAAATTTACCATACCCATGCTTCCATCCATTGAGGCCCTTCTGCACCATCCAAAGCACATCCAGCTAAGGTTCCATCAATCAAGAGCTGCTTCACAGCACAATCATCCAAAAGCTGACTACTACCCGTATTTACAAGAAAAGCTCCTATACAAACATTAGATACATTATAAATTTGTGAGGATAATTCAAGCCATAAATAATTAACAAAATCAAATAAAAAATATGACATATGAATAAGTAAATACCAGGCTTTACATGTTGAAGACATTCAGCATTAATAATCTGCATTGTTTCATTTGTTAACGTGCAATGGAGTGATATAAGGTCACTTGCGGCAAGTAAATCGTTAAGAGTATCCATTCTTCGTGCTGCAGGGGGGAACTTTACTTTTCTTTTTCCCTGTGCAAGGTCGAAGATGAAATTAGCCAAAAATATAGTATCCAGATTCCAGTCAGCTGTTTGGGATTAGTATTTAGGATGTATGGGATTTGGTTAGAAGTTCCTGCTTTTAGTCGTGCTATATTCCAATGTTCCAAAGAAACCCAAAAAAAAATTGCAAATCAAAGAGCAGACTATAAAATACACATGCAGAAAGTCAAACAAGAACAACCAAGCCTTATCCCTTAAACGAAGCTACAGTACTCAACTGATTGTGTATGAGTACCCTTGTGCATGTATGCTAGGCAACAGAAACCATAAGGCACAAGGAAACCAAAACAGAAATAACACTACGCAACTGTTTGTAGAGATAAGATGGCTTGATCCCCCCAACAAAATTTGGATCTGTATCTTGTCAAAATTAAGAAACACCATACGTAGTTACACTGCACAATTTACCAACCACACAAAATTCAATCCCCATGCTTGAACAGGGTATCTTATTCTCATATATGTACCCAATAAAGATTTGTTCCAACCAATCGTCAGCTCTCCAATTGACATGTTAATCATCAGACCTGAACTTATATATTTATTTTGATTCCTTCCGGACTATGAAATGGGTACTAAAAAGAAAAAATTGAAGCTTTATCATTTACCAGAAAAAGTTTTACCCCAACTAATCATCAATTCTTACAGTTAACATGTTAATCATAAAATTCAAACTAGGAAATACTAAATACTAATTACCATTTCAATTGTGTTTTGAAAAAAAAAAACATGAATTTCCAGCAGCAGTTTATATTAAATTTAGGAAAAATAATCACTTATTTTTCCAAAGCTCTCTCAAGAAACTGTCAAAATAAGCTATTATTTCTTTAGAATAAGTTGAACCAAACACACACTAAAGTCTTATGTTAGAACAAAGTAAACTTATTCTCATAGATTTACCCAAAAAGAGAATTTACACTGACAAAAGCAACAACACGCAGGAAAGATGCCCACAAAGGTAAATAAGGAAATGAAGGGCAAGATAGTTAAGACAAAAGCAAAATTGGATGTACAGGGGTTCAAGTTGGCCTGGATAGGGACAACAATGGAGAATAGAAGGTTTATACATTAGAAGGCATCAAATGCTATGCTGAAGGATTTTGCATGGGAAACGCAAAATGTAAGCAATACATATAATATAACTGATTATAGAAAGGGAGGAGGCGAGATACATATAATATAACTGGATATAGAGAGGAGGTGAATAATGATACATTGAGTAAATTACTGTTTTCTTGAGTCTTCTCCCTCAAGACTGTCCTTTTCAATCTTGAGATTCTAATGCAAGCTTTCACTCTTATGAATTTGCCAGTACCCAACGCACAAGTCAAAGACAACAAATTCATAGATGCTAATTCTGTAGAAACTGTAATTCATTCTCTCTCAACTACTAGTGTACAGTCATGCGCCAATGCCAGTACCCAATGCTAATTTTGAACATTTGTCACTTTTCTGTACAAATGATTTCACACCAAGTTGCATTATTTGCTAGCTCCCAACAGCAATTCCCAATGTAGTAAATAACAAATACAGACTACCCTATTCTTCCAGTAACAGACATGCTTGTTTAAAAGAAACGAAAACAAAAAATTCATACATGCTAATTCTGACAAAAACTGATGAAATCCATTCACAACTACCAGGGTATAGTCAAGCACCAATGCGAACTTTTCCGTATAAATGATTTCATACCAAATAGCATTCCTGTTCCAGTAATTCCACTTTTTGTCTAGGTTTCAGGTTATATACTCCAATGTTGTTATTACACATGCTAATCATAAAATCCAAACTGTTAAACACCAGTTACTATTCCAAAAAAAACAACAAACTTCAGAATCATGGAACAAATGCTACAATAACAAGCAAAAAAACTCATCTAATCACCAAGTCTCACATACAATTGAGATGTTAATCGCGAAATCAAAGCACAGAAACACCGACTACTACTTAAAATTTCAACAGACAAAGATAAAAAAACACTAATCGGAGAAGAGTAAGAAAAAAAAGTACCGCGTGAGCATCGAAATAGAGCACGCTCATTTTGAAGGCTAAGCTACGAGTGGCCAAAGACCTAGCGGAAGCGGAGATTCCGACGATGCCGAGAACGAGGCCGCGGCAGCGGCGCATCCCGCGGCATAGAGG